AAGAGTTCTTCGAGGCCAGAGGAATATACAGGAAGAGCAAGACAATGTGGTAAGATGAAGTGGAAAATGTGAAAAGTGACCAAATTCGGCCAGTATCACCTAAAGGAGGAAAAGCTAAAAAACAACTGTGTTTTATCTTATATTTAAGTCTTTAAGTCATTTTGAGTATATTTCTGTGTATGGTGTGATGGAGTGTTTTAACTTCACTGATTTATATGCTGCTGTCCAGTTTTCCCAACACCACTTGCTAAAGAGACTATCTTTTCTCCATTGTATATTCTTGCTTCCTTTGTCTAAGATTAACTGACCATAGATCTGTGGGTTTATTTGCAGGCTCTCTATTCTGTTCCATTGATCCGTACATTTGTTTTTGTACCAATACCATGCTGTTTTGATTATTGTAGTATTGTCTGAAGTCTGGGAGGGTTATTCCTCCAGCTTCATTCTTTTTCTTCAATATTGCTTTGCAATTTGGGGTCTTTCGTGATTCCATATAAAATTTAGGATTATTTGTTCCAATTCTGTGAAAAATGTCCTGGGTAATTTGATAGGGATCACATTAAATTTGTAGATTACCTTGGGCAGCATGGCCATTTTAACAATATTGATTCTTCCAGTCCACGAGCATGAGACATCTTTCTGTTTCTTTAAGTCATCTCCATGTATAATTCTTTCACCTCCTTGGTCAGATTTATTCCTAAGTATTTTACTTTTTTGGATGCAATTTTGAAAGGGATTGCCTCTTTACTTTCTTTTCCTGCTAATTCATTGTTAGTATAAAGAAATGCAACTGATTGCCATATGTTAATCTTATATTCTGTTACTTGCCAAATTCTTTTATCAGCTCTTGTAGTTTTTGTGTGGAGCCTTTCGGGTTTTCTATATATAGTATCATGTCATCTGCATATAGTGGCAATTTTATGTCTTCTCTTCCAATTTGGATCCCATTTATTTCTTTTGCTTATGATGGTGTGGCTAGGACTTCCAAGACTATGTTGAATAGAACTGGTGAGAGTGGGCATCCTTGTCTTGTTCCAGATTTTAGTGGGAAGGCTTACAGTTTTTCACCATTGAGTATTATGCTTGCATGATAAACCTCCTAGAAAAAAACATAGGCAAAAAATTCTCTGACGTGAATCTTAGCAGTGTTCTCCTAGGGCAATCTACCCAGGCAATAGAAATAAAAGCAAACATTAACAAATGGAACCTAATTAAACTTATAAGCTTTTGCACAGCAAAGGAAGCCATAAGCAAAACAAAAAGACAACCTACAGAATGGGAGAAAATATTTGCAAATGATGTGACTGACAAAGGTTTAATTTCCACAATATATAAACAGCTCATATAACTTAATAACAACAACAAAACAATCCAAAAATGGGCAAAAGACATAAACAAGCAACTGATGATCATACTAAACTAAGTGAAGTAAGTCAGAGAAAGACAAATATCATATGATATCACTTATATGTGGAATTTAAGAAAAAAGAAAATTTTTATTTACAAATGAAAAATAGACTCACAGACATAGAAAACAAACTGGTTATCAAAGGGGAAGGAGGAAGGAGGGATAACTTAGGAGCTAGGGACTAACAGATACACACTACTGTATATATAAAATAGATAAACAACAAAGACCTACTGTAGAGCACAGGGAACTGTATTCAATTTCTTATAATAATCTATAATGGAAAAGAATTATATACATAATTGAATCGCTTTGCTATACATCTGAAACTAACATTGCAAGTCAACTACACTTCAAAAAATAAAATAAAATTTAAAAAGAGAGAGAGAAAAAAAGAAGGGGTTTTAGGGAATCCCACAGACAGAAGGGGAGACAAAAGAAGGGCACCAGAGAAAACTGAAGCCTCCAGCACCTACAGCTGCAGCAAACATTAAACATAGCCCAGCTCTTAGCCAGATGAACATAAACCTCACACCAGAGGTCTATGTACCTCACTTTTTAGTATCTGACCTATCATCTCCAGCTTTATATAAGGTGACAAGGCATGCTAAAAGGCAAGACAAAACCCACAAAGCAAACATTAGGATTGGACTCAGGTATGACACAATTTTGGAATATTCAGACACAGAATGTGTGTGTTTATATACACACATCTATATAAGGAGATTTACTACAAAGAATTGGCTCAGGGAGGATATACAAATAGCTCATACAACTCAATAACATAAAAATAAATAAATAAATAAACAACCCAAACCAAAAATGAGCAGAAGACCTAAACAAACCTTTCTCTAGTGAAGATATACAGATGGCCAATAGGCACATGAAAAAATGCTCAATATCCCTAACTATTAGAGAAATGCAAGTCAATACTACAATGAGGTATCACCTCACACCAGTCAGAATGGCCATCATTTGAAAGTCCACAAACAATAAATGCTGGAGAAGGTGTGGTGAAAGGGAGCCCTCCTATATTGTTGGTGGGAATGTAGTTTGATGTAGCCATTATGGAAAACAGTAGGGAGATTTCTTAAGAAACTAAAAATAGACTTAACATAAGATTCAGCAATCCCACTCCTGGACATTAATGTGGAGGGATTTCTGATTCGAAAAGATACATGCACGCCAATGTTCATAGCAGAACTATTTACAATAGCTAAAATATGAAAGCAACAGTGTCCATGACAGATGAATGGATAAAGAAGTTTTATATACAATGGAATACTACTCAGCCATAAAACAGAATAAAATAATGCCATTTGCAGTGACATGGATGGACATGGAGATTGTCATACTAAGTGAAGTAAGCCAGAAAGACAAAGACAAATACCCTATGATGTCACTTATATGTGGAATCTAAAAGAATGATACAAGTGAACTTATTTACAAAACAGAAACAGATTGATAGACATAGAAAAAAAAACTTATGGTTACCAGGGGGAAAACGGAGGGTGGGTGGAGAGATAAATTGGGAGTTTGGGATTAGCAGATACATACTAATGTGTATAAAATAGATAAGCAGCAAGTTCCTACTGCATAGTACAAGGAACTGTATTCAATACTTTGTAATAACCTATTGAAATACCTTGAAATAACCTAGTGAAAAAGAATATGAAAAGGAATATATATGTATAACTGAATCACTGTGCTGAACACCAGAAATTAACACAACGTTGTAAACTGACTATCCTTCAATAAAAAAGAATTGGCGCATGTGATTATGGAGCTGATAAGTCCCAGGCTGGAGGGTCAGCAGACTGGAGACCCTGAAGAGCCAGTGGCATAGCTCCTATCTGAAGACTCAGGATGACCCCGTGTGACAGTTCAAGTCCAAAGCCCTTGTCTGGAGAGAAAATACCTAAAGGAAGGAGGAGTTAGATGAGGCAGAGAGACAGTGAATATCTGCGATGTTAGGGAAGGTATGGGATACCTGCAGGAAGTGGCCAATTCTCCAAAAAAGGGAGGAAATGTTAAAAAATCATTCCCCTGGCACAAAATTTTCTGAAAGATCTGTTGCTTTGTTTTAAGCCTCTAAGTTCTAGTTGTCCTATTTTAGGATAAAAAGAACAATATACGTGTTCTGTTTTTTCTTGTTGATGTTACCACGGCTGCTGACAAAATGCAAACAGCACAGCTCTCTGACTCGGTGGGGGCGGGGGGGGGGGGGAGAGGAGGTGCCTAGCCCGGGTGTTCCCACCGCTTCCTGTTCCCTCCACCTCACAGCTGACAGTCGCTCTTCAAGGCCAGTTCTTGAGCTGAGACTTCAGCTCACATTTTGCTCCAAAAATGGAAGCACTTCCTCTATGTATT